TACTTGATTTTTGGCTGCAGTAAAAGAATTTCAAACAATCTTACCAAATGGTGGAAAGTAATACCTTTCAATGAAGGTATGGTGGGCCAAAACAAAGAGGTAAAGGAGAGATTTGAGTTAGCATTATTTATTGAGAAATCTTCCCATGTTTCGGTTTATTCATTTAAAACAAACTTTTATTTTTAACTTGAACAAACACTGTCAAATACATGCATGAAAGTTAGATGTCACTGGATATCACTTTAGATGTAACCAACTTTGCAATGACGTGTGTTAAAATTCCCACAGGCATCTGCAAAAGAAAATAAAAACAATGAACAACAGAGACTTCTTTCTATTCTTCCCAACTGCAGGATGAAATGAGAGAAAATAAACAATAGCACAACATTAACCAGCACCAGTGACTTTCTAAATAGAAGAAAATGGCCAGCTCTGTGTATATCTGCAAGATTTGTGTGCTATATGCTAAACAAGTAGAGAAAACTACCTTTTCCTTTTGTAACTCACAAGCTTGGATATCAGGGTCCTTGTGAAACTGGAGGTTTCAGTCAAAGGGTCACACCAACCTTGTGTGCCTAGCACTACAAAAGCTTGTTGCTTTTCTTTCTACATGAGGGGCCATTCTGAGATTTAAATAAATCTCTCAAGCTTCAACAGCCTGTGCTCGTTCCATAAATGATACTCCCTTACCCTCCCAGACCCTTGGTTTCCATATCTACCATGCGGGAAAGAAGCTATTATGAAACACACGGCTGTGAAAATGCAAATAAATAAATAAATAAGAAAGAAAAATGTTAAACATTTAAATATACTCAAAGACAGATATACCTTAAGACTTATTTACCAGTTCAGTGATAAACACACATTCTTTTCATCTGACTGTGACATAAAATACAAAAATATATAGCTAAGTAAATATTTAGGTATTAGTCATTAAATGTGTTCCTACTTGAAATTCTTGGCTTTTTGCTAGTTGTCACTTTGTAAAAGGCATTGAGTTGTCTCCTAGTTACTATGGTATCCTGCATTTCTGTGGTCAAGTAATGACGGCCCCACTAATGTGTGTGGCCCAGCCAAGTTAGTGGCTGTGTCTGGCGACTGTTTTCTACACAAATATTGGTCTTGGTAGTAGGTCTGATACATTTACCACTTGTTAGTAGTCTTGCAGCTAGAAGACAAAACACCTCAAACATGAACAAATGAGTAGCCATGAAGTATATTTCAGAGCACACTGCAGTTCATATTACTAGATACATGAATATTCTAGTAATATTTTACATAAGCTAAATTGAATTTTTAAACTACTTTTAAACATTTTCTTAATTAATTTACTGGGAATCTTTTTTGTTGTTAAATAAAACTGTCAGCAACAGGTAAATGCCAGGAATAGTCGAGTGATTCTCAAAGCTATACACAGATACCTGGATTTTCTCGGCTTCCCCTCTGCTGCATCTAGGTCCCCTTGGAGTTCTTCACCTTGTTTTCTGCATCCTTCTCTTTTTCTTGTTCTTTCTCTTCCTCGCCTGCAGCATCTTGGGCCTCTTCATCCCACTTTTCAGGCTGAGATTTAGTGACTTCTTTAGTGAAGAAAAATACACACTTGGGACCAGACATTCACAGAAAATACAGCCCAATTTACAACTAGCAGCGGCATCCCGTACCCCACCCTCAGGAGAAGCAAGATAGAGTTAACTAAGGAAGGAACAGCTGGGCACCTTCCTACTGGTTTTCACAACAGTTCCATGGCCCTGGCGTTGCTCCCGCTTGATCATTTCCACAGGGACACTATCTCCCTTTTTTCTAGTAAATCTCCCACCCAAAGCTGCTGATTATTTCTCGTTTTTGGAGAAGAGAACTGAATCATCGGGTCTGGTCTCATTCTACGGTGTTTTGGTCAGAACTTTGTTGGGAAAATATTTGTTTGCCTCAAAAAACAAATTTTATGGTGAAGCTCATTGGTACCTCACCTCCCTAAATTGTGTCAGTTTTACCAAGGGCTCCTGTATCACTTCATCATTTGAGGGATCATCTTTCTATGAATCTTTGCACTTTGAAAAGCCATGAATCCAAAAGGGTGCCTGCCATTTGCCTGTTCTCTTCGTGCCGGTATCCCCTCTGTTTCCTGCGGAGCTCCCTCCTGAACCCCTGTCTTCCTGGCCATTCATCTGTGGGCTCACAAATGGCATCGATGATCTCAGATCTCCTATCAAATACAGGTTGGTAGAGGGCGGCAAGTTTTCTCAAAACCATAGAGGTCGTTAGAGAATTGGGTTTCGACTCATTGGGAAACATTCGGCCTTAAGTTTCAGGAGGGCCCCGACTGCTGCTTCATCACCCGAGGCCCCGACTATCCCTTCACCACCCGCTTCACCAGCTGTGTCCACACCACGGCCCTGCCCAGAGCCCTTGGACACACGGGTCCCCGCCTCCCCACTGCTGCCGCTAGCCCGTTCCTCACCCTCAGGGGCCGTGGCCTCCTCTGCGGCCGGTTCCTCTGTGGCCTCCTCTGCGGGCTTCTCCTCTGTGGCCTCCTCCTCTGTGGCCTCCTCTGCAGCCTCCTCCTCTGTGGCCTCCTCCACCGGCTCCTCTGCGGCCTCCTCTGTGGGCTCCCTGGCCATCTCGGCCAGGTAGCCTGGCACTGCAGGCTCTGGGACCGACACGGCCTCCTGGATCAGGCCCAGGCCCTGGCCTTCCAGGGCTGCGGCCCCCGCGCCCAGCCTCTGGAGCAGCAGCAGCAGGGAGGGCTCGACCCTGCGGTTGGGTGCAGCAGCACGGGGCCCCACCATCAGGCGGCTGTGGTGACGGGTCGCTATCAGGATGTGGTCGTTGTGATAGAGGCGGCGGAGAAGGGAGTGGACCAGATCCAGGAACACAAAGCGAATGCCCGCCGCAGGGAAGCGACGGGTGACCTCCGCCAGGTCGAGGTTGCCCGCCACGTTCCTCTCTTCCTCCTCCTCCTCCTCCTCCTCCTCTTCCTCCGCCGCGGGCCCGATGTCCGGGTCCTCCTCGGTGCTCCCGCCCCCGGGGACTGTGGCCAGGCCTGCTGCCTGCTCACCCTCCTCCTCCCTGAGGCCTTCCATGGGCCCTGCGACTCCGACCACCTCGGTCGCCGGCACCATGTCGCTACTGTGGGGGCCGGAGTCGCCACCCTCCGGGTTACCAGCTCCGGCCACCTCGGCCTGCGCTCCCTCCTGGCTTACCGGGGCCTCCTGGTCCCCTTCGGTCGGGTGTCGGTCCCCTGTGGCAGACATGACACCGGTCAGTACCTCAACTGGGGTGGCGAGCAGGCTGGTGACCGCGGTGAAGATGGTGGCCACTGAGGTGGCTACGGCTGAGGGGAGGCAAGGGTTTGGCCGCTGAGGGAGTAAGAGTCTGTCTCCTTATTGAGGGAATAAGAGTCTGTCTCAGAGGACACCCTAAGGTGGGAAGGGCAAGGAGCGAATCCCAGGAGCCTCCCACCAAGGCTGGCCTGAGAGGACTTAGACAAGGCGGGAAAGATTCCGGTTGGCAGGCAACAGGGGGCGGGACCGGAAGCATCAATGATGGGCTCTCAGCGAGCTGTAAGCCCATTTGCCGAAAACTTCAGATTGACATATTCTGTGTCCAATGAATGATCAAGGCCCTTTAGCTCTAGGACATCTCAGAATCCAGGGTTTTTTTTTTTTTTTTTTTTTTTTGGGACCGGATTCTTGCTCGGTCACCCAAGCTGGAGTGCAGTGCCACGATCTCGGCTCACTGCAGTCCCCGCCTCCTGGGTTGCAGTGATTCTCCTGCCTCAGCCTCCTCAGTAGCTGGGACTACAGGCACAGGCTACCACCCTCCGCTAGTTTTTCTAGTTTTAGTAGAGACAGCGTTTCACCACATTGGCCAGGATGGTCTTGATCTCATGACCTTGTGATCCACCTGCCTTGGCCTCCCAAAGTGCTGGGGTTATAGGCCTGACCCACCGTCCACGGCCGAACTCTACCTTTTCTTTGAGGCCTTAGTGTCCAGGGCTACCCTTTTGGTCCACACAAGTCTTGCGCTTTTAATTTTAGGATTAGCAACACTATAGTAGTCCAATGTGGAGGCACCCTGGAGTATGGGAACTGCAAGATGTTCACAGAGTCCACTTATTTCCACCTAGTAATGGCTCATGCCAGTAGAGATAGTGTCATAAAAATGTTACCTAGTTCAGACCTAAGCAGTTGTGAAAACCTCCCAAGAAGAGACGTAGAATTTCAATGATTTAATGTAGTCAATGCTACTTAGAAAAGAATGTGCAGAATTGAAATGGATGCAGTCATCACCGAGTGCTGATGTGGTAAATGACAGACACTGGAAGGTGTTTAATGAATCCTGCCAAATTCACTTCAAACCTCCAAATAATGAAAAAAAATAGATACTGTTTTAAAGGGACTCAAAAGAGCTAAGCAGAAAAAACACCAATAGGGCCTGGGCGTGGTGGCTCATGCCTGTAATCCAGCACTTTGGGAGGCCGAGGCAGGCAGATCACCTGAGGTCAGTAGTTTGAGACCAGCCTGACCAACATGGTAAAACCCTGTCTCTACTAAAAACACAAAAAATTAGCTGGGTGTGGTGGTGCACACCTGTAGTCCCAGCTACTCAGGAGGGTGAGGCAGCAGAATTGCTGGAACCCGGGAGGTGGAGGTTGCAGTGAACCGAGATGGTGCCACAGCACTCCAGCCTGGGTGACAGAGCGAGACTCAGTCTCATTTAAAAAAAAAAAAATAGTAATAATAATAGTAAGACATGGAATAATTTTTTCACACTTACAGCACGTATTAAATCAGGCTAGCCATATGACAAGTGCTCAGTGGCCACAACACACAGATCTAAAGAGGAGCCCCATCTCTCTCTTTCCAAAAATGGTTTTAAACTTGACATTTTACTTGATTTTTGGCTGCAGTAAAAGAATTTCAAACAATCTTACCAAATGGTGGAAAGTAATACCTTTCAATGAAGGTATGGTGGGCCAAAACAAAGAGGTAAAGGAGAGATTTGAGTTAGCATTATTTATTGAGAAATCTTCCCATGTTTCGGTTTATTCATTTAAAACAAACTTTTATTTTTAACTTGAACAAACACTGTCAAATACATGCATGAAAGTTAGATGTCACTGGATATCACTTTTGATGTAACCAACTTTGTAATGACGTGTGTTAAAATTCCCACAGGCATCTGCAAAAGAAAATAAAAACAATGAACAACAGAGACTTCTTTCTATTCTTCCCAACTGCAGGATGAAATGAGAGAAAATAAACAACAGCACAACATTAACCAGCACCAGTGACTTTCTAAATAGAAGAAAATGGCCAGCTCTGTGTATATCTGCAAGATTTGTGTGCTATACGCTAAACAAGTAGAGAAAACTACCTTTTCCTTTTGTAACTCACAAGCTTGGATATCAGGGTGCTTGTGGAACTGGAGGTTTCAGTCAAAGGGTCACACCAACCTTGTGTGCCTAGCACTACAAAAGCTTGTTGCTTTTCTTTCTACATGAGGGGCCATTCTGAGATTTAAATAAATCTCTCAAGCTTCAACAGCCTGTGCTGGTTCCACAAATGAACCTCCCTTACCGTCCCAGACCCTTGGTTTCCTATCTACCATGTGGGAAAGAAGCTATTAAGAAATGCACGGCTGTGAAAACGCAAATAAATAAATAAATAAATAAGAAAGAAAAATGTTAACCATTTAAATATACTCAAAGACAGATATACCTTAAGACTTATTTACCAGTTCAGTGATAAACACACATTCTTTTCATCTGACTGTGACATAAAATACAAAAATATATAGCTAAGTAAATATTTAGGTATTAGTCATTAAATGTGTTCCTACTTGAAATTCTTAGCTTTTTGCTAGTTGTCACTTTGTAAAAGGCATTGAGTTGTCTCCTAGTTACTATGGGATCCTGCATTTCTGTGGTCAAGTAATGACGGCCCCACTAATGTGTGTGGCCCAGCCAAGTTAGTGGCTGTGTCTGGCAACTGTTTTCTACACAAATATTGGTCTTGGTAGTAGGTCTGATACATTTACCACTTGTTAGTAGTCTTGCAGCTAGAAGACAAAACACCTCAAACATGAACAAATGAGTAGCCATGAAGTATATTTCAGAGCACACTGCAGTTCATATTACTAGATACATGAATATTCTAGTAATATTTTACATAAGCTAAATTGAATTTTTAAACTACTTTTAAACATTTTCTTAATTAATTTACTGGGAATCTTTTTTGTTGTTAAATAAAACTGTCAGCAACAGGTAAATGCCAGGAATAGTCGAGTGATTCTCAAAGCTATACACAGATACCTGGATTTTCTCGGCTTCCCCTCTGCTGCATCTAGGTCCCCTTGGAGTTCTTCACCTTGTTTTCTGCATCCTTCTCTTTTTCTTGTTCTTTCTCTTCCTCGCCTGCAGCATCTTGGGCCTCTTCATCCCACTTTTCAGGCTGAGATTTAGTGACTTCTTTAGTGAAGAAAAATACACACTTGGGACCAGACATTCACAGAAAATACAGCCCAATTTACAACTAGCAGCGGCATCCCGTACCCCACCCTCAGGAGAAGCAAGATAGAGTTAACTAAGGAAGGAACAGCTGGGCACCTTCCTACTGGTTTTCACAACAGTTCCATGGCCCTGGCGTTGCTCCCGCTTGATCATTTCCACAGGGACACTATCTCCCTTTTTTCTAGTAAATCTCCCACCCAAAGCTGCTGATTATTTCTCGTTTTTGGAGAAGAGAACTGAATCATCGGGTCTGGTCTCATTCTACGGTGTTTTGGTCAGAACTTTGTTGGGAAAATATTTGTTTGCCTCAAAAAACAAATTTTATGGTGAAGCTCATTGGTACCTCACCTCCCTAAATTGTGTCAGTTTTACCAAGGGCTCCTGTATCACTTCATCATTTGAGGGATCATCTTTCTATGAATCTTTGCACTTTGAAAAGCCATGAATCCAAAAGGATGCCTGCCATTTGCCTGTTCTCTTCGTGCCGGTATCCCTTCTGTTTCCTGCGGCGCTTCCTCCTGAACCCCTATCTACCAGGCCATTCATCTGCGCGCTCACAAATGGCATCGATGATCTCAGATCTCCTATCAAATACAGGTTGGTAGAGGGCGGCAAGTTTTCTCAAAACCATAGAGGTCGTTAGAGAATTGGGTTTCGACTCATTGGGAAACATTCGGCCTTAAGTTTCAGGAGGTTCCCGACTGCTGCTTCATCACCCGAGGCCCCGACTATCCCTTCGCCACCCACTTCACCAGCTGTGTCCGCACCACGGCCCTGCCCAGAGCCCTTGGACACACGGGTCCCCGCCTCCCCACTGCTGCCGCTAGCCCGTTCCTCACCCTCAGGGGCCGTGGCCTCCTCTGCGGCCGGTTTCTCTGTGGCTGGTTCCTCTGTGGCCTCCTCTGTGGGCTTCTCCTCTGTGGTCTCCTCTGCAGCCTCCTCCTCTGTGGTCTCCTCTGCAGCCTCCTCCTCTGTGGCCTCCTCTGCAGCCTCCTCCTCTGTGGTCTCGTCTGCGGCCAGTTTCTCTGTGGCCGGTTCCTCTGTGGCCTTCTCCGCAGCCTCCTCCTCTGTGGCCTCCTCCACCGGCTCCTCTGCGGCCTCCTCTGTGGGCTCCCTGGCCATCTCGGCCAGGTAGCCTGGCACTGCAGGCTCTGGGACCGACGCGGCCTCCTGGATCAGGCCCAGGCCCTGGCCTTCCAGGGCTGCGGCCCCCGCGCCCAGCCTCTGGAGCAGCAGCAGCAGGGAGGGCTCGACCCTGCGGTTGGGTGCAGCAGCACGGGGCCCCACCATCAGGCGGCTGTGGTGACGGGTCGCTATCAGGATGTGGTCGTTGTGATAGAGGCGGCGGAGAAGGGAGTGGACCAGATCCAGGAACACAAAGCGAATGCCCGCCGCAGGGAAGCGACGGGTGACCTCCGCCAGGTCGAGGTTGCCCGCCACGTTCCTCTCTTCCTCCTCCTCCTCCTCCTCTTCCTCTGCCGTGGACCCGACGTCCGGGTCCTCTTCTGCGCTCCCGCCCCCGGGGACTGTGGCCAGGCCTGCTGCCTGCTCACCCTCCTCCTCCCTGAGGCCTTCCATGGGCCCTGCGACTCCGACCACCTCGGTCGCAGGCACCATGTCGCTACTGTGGGGGCCGGAGTCGCCGCCCTCCGGGTTACAAGCTCCGGCCGCCTCGGCCTGCGCTCCCTCCTGGCTTACCGGGGCCTCCTGGTCCCCTTCGGTCGGGTGTCGGTCCCCTGTGGCAGACATGACACCGGACAGTACCTCAACTGCGGTTGCGAGTAGGCTGAAGTGACTGCGGTGAAGACGGTGGCCGCTGAGGTGGCTACGGCTGAGGGGAGGCGAGGGTTTGGCTGCTGAGGGAGTAAGAGTCTGTCTCCTTATTGAGGGAATAAGAGTCTGTCTCAGAGGACACCCTACGGTGGGAAGGGCAAGGAGCGAATCCCAGGAGCCTCCCACCAAGGCTGGCCTGAGAGGACTTAGACAAGGCGGGAAAGATTCCGGTTGGCAGGCGACAGGGGGCGGGACCGGAAGCGTCAATGAGTGGCTCTCAGCGAGCTCTAAGCCCATTTGCTGAAAACTTCAGATTGACATGTTCTGTGTCCAATGAATGATCAAGGCCCTTTAGCTCTAGGACAACTCAAGAATCCAGAGTTTTTTTTTTTTTTTTTTTTTTGGGACCGGAGTCTTGATCGGTCACCCAGGCTGGAGTACAGTGGCATGCCCTCGGCTCACTGCAATCCCCACCTCCTGGGTTCCAGTGATTCTCCTGCCTCAGCCTCCTCAGTAGCTGGGACTGCAGGCATGGGCTACCACGCCCGGCTAGTTTTTCTATTTTTAGTAGAGACAGGGTTTCACCACTTTGGTCAGGATGGTCTTGATCTCATGACCTTGTGATCCACCTGCCTTGGCCTCCCAAAGTGCTGCATTTACAGTCCTGAACTCCTGTGCCCCTCTGAGCTCTAACTTTTCTTTGAGGCCTTAGTGTCCAGGGCTACCCTTTATGTCTGAACAAGTCCTGGCCTTTAATTTTAGGATTATTAGCAACACTATAGTAGTCCAATGTGGAGGCATTCTGGAGCATGGGAAATGCAATATGTTCACAGAGTTCACTTATTTCCACCTAGTAATGGCTCATGCCAGTAGAGATAGTGTCATGAAACTGTTACCTAGTTCAGACCTTAGCAGTTGTGAAAACCTCCCAACAAGAGACATAAGAATTTCAATCATTTAATGTAGTTAAACCTACTTAGAAAAGAACGTGCAGAGTTGACATGGATGCAGTCATCACTGAATGCTGAGGTGGTAAATGACAGACACTGTCACGGTGTTTAATGAATCCTGCCAAATTCACTTCAAACCTCCAAATATTGAATCAAAAAAAGATCCTTTTTAAAAAGGACCACTTTATCTCATATGATGTAAGCATAAAGAACACCAAATGGGCCTGGGCGCGGTGGCTCACGCCTGTAATCCAGCACTTTGGGAGCCCGAGGCAGGCAGATCACCTGAGGTCAGTAGTTTGAGACCAGCCTGACCAACATGGTAAAACCCTGTCTCTACTAAAATAACAAAAAATTAGCTGGGTGTGGTGGTGTACGCCTGTAGTCCCAGCTACTCGGGAGGGTGAGGCAGGAGAATTGCTGGAACCCGGGAGGCGGAGTTTGCAGGGAACTGAGATGTTGCCACAGCACTCTAGCGTGGGTGACAGAGCGAGACTCAGTCTCAAAAAAAAAGATAAAGAAATAAAAACACCCAACGGACAGGCTTCCTAGGCTATTTCAAGCAATAACCCAGGACTTTTTGTTGATTTCAAGACCTACTTAATGAAGGTTCAAGTAGTAATTATTTCTGAACATTTTGGAGAAATCAACTGTTATTTTATATTCATTGTATGAATTTTTTGGGTCACATTACAACTACTCTTTGAAAAAAGTTGTAGGTAGCATATTTCATGTATTAAATTCAAGAATACTAATACCATTCAATCTTTTCAAGGCGAGTAGGTAGTTTTTGTAGCTTTCATCACCTCATCAAATTTCCGTGCTTCTGTTTTTCTCTAGTTTCACCTAAAAAAGGGGCATCGTGCTGTCATAAGTCATTGGTTTAAATCTGGAAGGCAATGTGGAAAATTTCTAATACAAAATACTTACTATTAAAACAGCAAAACCTAGGCAGAATCCCAATGTGAGGTCTAGAGTTGGTTTTAATATTTGCTTCCTGATGTGAAGTTGCGAAAGTTACTTATTTCTATGCCTCAGTTTTATCATTTGTGAAATTAGGATAATGATTCTCTAGCTACCTCCCAAGGTTAATCTGAGAATCAAATAAAATAATGGGATGAAAACCCTTTTCATACTGTAAAGTACTATACATGTATATGATTACATCAAAAATAATTTTTCACTGTTCTTAAATTATTGGAGTGAAGCTATCAGGTATATTTGGCCCTCTGTATCCATGGATTCTGCATGTGTGGATTCAACTAACTGTGAATCAAAAATATTCAGAAATTGCATGTGCACTGAACATATACAGACTTTCTTCATGTCATTATTCCCTAAACAATATAGTATTACAACTATTTAGATAGCATTTACATTGTATTAGGTATTACAAATAATCTAGAGATGATTTAAAATATACATGATAATGTACATAGGTTATATGCAAATACTATGCCATTTTATATCTGGAACTTGGGCATCTGCAGATTTTGGTATCTGCAGGAGGTCTTGGAATAAGTTCCCCATGGGTAACTAGGGGTGACTGTAGTCTCTCAGGCCTTCAGAGAACCCTCTAATTTGGATTTAGAGGAATTAGTTTTTTCCTAGCTACATGGTGTTATATACTCCCCTGGCTAATACCCTGACTTCAGTCAAGATTTGAGTGAGATAGGTAGATGGAATGAGATGGGATTATATTTACAATATTAACTATTTGTTGAAAATATTTCCCAGATTGATTTTACCTTCTAAGTTGATTAATGTTTCCAAGTATTTAGTTTTTCATTTATGTGTTCCAAAAGTCTAACAATATTTTATTTTTAATCATTTTGACTTCATTGTAAATTTGTAAGCTTTCTTGTATGGAGAATTTTATTTTATATTTTCTTTTTGGGGATCTTCTTAATGTTTACCTTTAGCTCCTTAATGCATAGTGTGAGATTAAAGTCTCAGATGATTTTTATTTTGAACAGCTCACCTATACCACCACTTATTGAGTAACTCTTCCCCTGTATACTGATGTGTGGCCATGTACTCTTTAGCACTTTCTCTAAAGGTAGAAAAAATGCAAGAGAAAAAACTCATTTTCCCTAAATCTCAGAGCATGAAATGGTCTTTAGCTATTGAGTCCAAGTTTATTCTTTTTCAAGTGGAAAAATTAAGGCCTGGAGTAGTTAACTGGCTTTCCAAAGTCATACTACTCAATGGAGGAGCCAGGAGTAGAACCAACATCCTCTGACATTTAATCTGAAATTGAGACAGGCATGCTTATTGTACATACAGCTTCAGGGGTAATTTGACAGCACAAGGTTAATTACCCAAATAAATAAATGGTTATGAGTTGAGGGTCTCTGAAATTCAGGCAAGCCTGTCCTCCTGACTCTGAATCAATCAGCAAATATTTACTGAACACCTACATTAAATGCCTTGTGTAAGACCTTGCCGGGGACAGAGAAGCAGGTGCCACCACCTCTGGCCACAAGAATCTCACAGTCTATTTGGGAGAAAGGATTGTATACTGAGAATGGAGGTAAAAAAGCAGCACCTGACATTCAGAGCTGGCCTGGCACTCACAGCTAAGCCATCTTATTCTCCTACTGGATATAAACAATAGCATAGAACACCAACATCAGACAGGATCACTCTGTGTCCATGATAAATAGAGACAAAGCAAGGCTACTTTATAATTTCATTCAAGCAGAGAAAAATGAAGTCACGAAATACCAAACAAAATATTAAACTTAGCTTCTCTTGATTAAAATGAGTACCACTTCTTTACCAATTACAGCTTTATCCTGGCTCTAATATCCCCTCTCTATAAATAAGATTTATTGAAATACTAATCAGAACTGCACCGACTTTCCGATAGCATGTAATCTAGAGCAAATCCCCACTTTGTTCAAAACTTCCACATATTCTAAGCTTTGGATTTGGGGAAGGAAGTGATATTGCCTCTGGCAAGAAAATAGACATAGGGAATTTGATGGAAGTCTTGTGGTGAGGAAGGTGTCCAGTGGGGCACCCCTGTTCTTGCTACAATGCTATCACCAGGACTGGCTCCACTCTTTCTTAGTGAAAACAAATATAGTCAGGTAGATGGTTTTTGTACACTTATAGTATTCCTACTTTTTTTCTTTTCCCTTCTTTCTGTCGATGTCCATCCATTTTTGCTTCACAACTTTCAATAGGACCATTACTAGTCACTTTAGAGGAGCATGTTAACAAAAAACCAAAACCAAAAACCACAGAAGTGTCTTCCTAGGTCATGAAGAGCTGGGCTGTCCACTTGAAGCTGTAGGACAAATACTTCAGACCCTAGTCATTCAATCATCCGGTGAGCATATGTTGAGCACCTACTATAGGTCTGGAGTTATATCAAGGGCTGGGGACGCATTGGTGCTTAAGGTCCATGGCTTGATCTATCTAGTTCATGGTCTAGAGGGGAAGACGAACATTTGGATGATGATGACACAAGGTGTCAAGAACTATAACAGGGATGAACACAAGGTACTATGGGATCTCAGGAGAGAGAACGATTAGCTAAAGTTGAGGGGATGGAGGGGAAAGTGGGTTGGTGCCTGGGAAGGTGCTCAAGAAGAGGTATTTCAGCTGAGTCCTGAAACTAGGAGTTCAACCAGCAATAAAGATTGGGGGGAAGTCATTGCAAGTAAAGGAAGCTGCATGGATAATGGCAGGGGTGTGTGCGTATTGGTCCCAGGCAATGAAATGGGTGGAGCATTGGGCAGAGTGGCAGATGGGCCTTTAAAGCAGATGGGGCAGGGGATGGATACCCCATTCTCCATGACGTGCTTATTTCACATTGCATATGTGTACCAAAACATCTCATGTATCCCATAAATAAATACACCTACTATGTACCTAAAAAATTAAGAATAAAAGAAATAGAAAAATAAAGCAGATGGGGCAATTAATAATTAATGCTTCTCTAAAGAGTTTGCCCTTTGGCCTGAAAGGGCCGGGCTGTCCACTAGAAGCTGCAGGGCAAATACTCCAGAATCTAGTAATTGAATCATTCACTGAGTTTGCCCTTTGTCCTGAAACCCCTTTGCCTGCTTTCCCTTTGTATAGAAGACATTTCCAGAAGTATTACTGCAAGTTTTCACCCTCATTTTTATGTTCTTAGTTATTTTCATAGGTCTTCCTCCCAGGTTGTCCAATGGCTGCCTCCTTGGCATTCAGGTTTTAGTCAGAGGGCTCTCATGGGGTTTGTCCCTGACCACCTTGACTAAAACTGTCACCTACCTCCACCCCAATCACTATTATGTCACTACCCTGT